AACATGATGTTAAAAATTTGTTATGAAGAAAACAAAGCAACGATTAGGGGGCACGAAAAGAAACAAAGAAAAACATGTTTGATCGTTCAGAGAGTATAGCCTTGCGTAGAAGTTTTCACACACTCTCTCTCTCTCTCTTTCTTTTTTTTTCTTTCTATTTTTTTTCGTTTCCAACAAACGTCTTCCTGGTGGACGTTTTACGTTAGAATGAATTTACTAAACCTGGAAGCTCCTACGGATATACTCGTCCTCGCCATTGCCAGTCATACCGTAATTATATCCACCTTCACCTCCGCCGCTTCCACCGTTCAGAAATGGATTCGTCGGGTTCACTGCACCTGCAGATGCAAATTCAATTTTTTCCCAGACATAATTCATCCACTGATACTAAACAAAAATATTCTCCTTTTCTCCTGAAAGCTCTCACCTCCGCTCGCACCTGGTACACCAAGGCTACCATCCGCCGTCTGGTACGTAGCACCATAGCCCGTATCCTGGTTGGCCAGCTCGTGAAGTCTCGTAGAGCTCAAAGCTCTGGGTATAGCGTTGCTGGGTACACCGTGAGGCGCTAAATGCGTCGCCTCAGCCACCTGATGAGGATCCTCCGTTTGCGGCAGCTCCGAGACGAAGCCGGTGTCCTTCCTGTAGAAGTTGATGAACACGAATCCAGCGAGAACGATGAGACAGGACAAACCGTACACTCTGAACGTTCCAGATGTTCCTGCGGAATGAGAAATTTCACCTTCGATAAAGGATCGATCCAGCGAGTAACCTGTCTATAGGAGAAGTGTCGAGAGATATTAATAGTCCGAACTTATGAATAATCCAGCTTACTTGATCAATATTCTAATCACTCCCCGTCTCACCTAGTCTCTCTCGAACTTACTCACCGTAAGCGTCTACCAACATTCCACCGATCACTGCACCGCAACCCCTTCCAAGACCATGGTGAATACCCTGAAGAACACCCTGAGCACTGGTACGAAGCTGCGGAGGCGTATTGTGAGCGATGTAGCTGCAACAAGCGGCCCAAACAGCCGCGTGTGTGATTCCTTGGATGAATTCGAACGGTAACACCCACCATGGTGTCGTTAACCAGGAGATGTAGAGGAAACGGAGAACGTTTCCACCTAATCCCATGCACAATACCTGAAATAACGTGTGTATACTTGCAGGAAGAAAATTCGCGACTGTGTCGAAGACGTCTGAATTAACGGATAGAAATATGGACACTTCAACCCTTTACGGTCCGAATAGACGTCAGACCACACTCATTTGGCCACTGTCGAGCAACACCGTGTAGTTTGCCTTTATTTCAATATTTCAGCGTGATATTAGTTACGAAATATTAAGTTTCGGCCTAATATTAACGCATAAAAAAATGATTTATTATCGTTTATAATTTATCAGTGTATCGTATCTAAAGGCAAAAATTCCTGTGTCGAGTCTGACTCGTCATAGGACCGCAAAGGGTTAAGATAGAATTGTTTCGGATGATTTTCAAGGACTACCTTCACGTGGCCGATTTGCCTGATCAGCTTGAAGCTGAAGAAGTAAGCGAATATCTCTGAGATGTGATTGATGACAGAGGCTACCGAAGCCCATGAACCAAGCGACGAATAGGAAGGACAAACACTTGAGATCCTTGAATTGCTTCAGCACGGCCACCCATTCGGGAATCTCGCGCGTTGTTTGAGCGAACATTTTTGTCTGGAACGAGGAGAGGCTCGTTTCATAGAATCGATATTATCGAGAGCGGAGAGAAATCAAGGTCTAGGTACCTTGCCTTCTGGAGGCTGAGGCTTTAGATTCACCCCAGCTGAAGAGTCCTGAAGGCTGGGTAGATTGAGCTGCTGAGAGAGCTGGCTCTGGAGTTGTTCTTCTCTCGTTGGTTCCGCTGGAGGTTTCTCCACTTCCTGAACAGGAAAATTGTTCGAAGAATATTTTTACCTGATTCAAAAAATTCGAGGAATCTTGAAATGTATCTATTTCCTGTTGAACTCACTGGCTCAGCGACTGGTATTTCGTACTTGAAGTTGATCTGCGTGGCAGTGATCAGAGCGACGCCCATCAGAACGCTGAAGATCGCGAAGCAGATCGTGTAGTTCTTCTCTCTGAGATCTGGACCACATGGATGCTCGGAGAAAGCGGTGCTGTGGTCGAGAGCGATACCAACGAAGAACATGGCCAGACCCCAGCCCAAACTACCGAACATTCGTTGGTGACCATACCTATGTGTTCGTAAAAAAGAAGAATAGCTGTAATTCCGGCTACATAAGGAAGAAATGCTATAAAATTTGAACAATTTACACATTTGTTAGTTTTTCTTTTTATATCAATCGATAGCTTGAAGTGTCTAGTTTGTATCAGTATAGCCGAGAAAGCATAAATTTACAGTGTAATGAAAAAATTACCCCACTAATGGGGTAACACATGATTTTTCCTAGGCTTGTTCTCGAAAATAAAATAAACGCTGGCCAACACGTACCTATCAGCGTCTTCGCCTAATAAAGTGATCACAGCAGAGTCAGCCAAAGTAATAGCAGGCGCGGAGAAAAATTCTCCGACTATCACCAACAGCAACAGGAGGAAGAAGGTTTTTTGGATGTCCTGAAAACAACAAGGATCACCTTTCAATCTCCAAAAAAAATTCCTACTCCAACCGTAACAACAGCAACCTCTGCGTACCGTTTGTCTGTAGACAATTGAGCTGAACAATGGCTTAACCCATCCTCTGTTCTCCTTTTCGTTGTAGTTCGCCGCGTAAGAGACTGAATGAGGACTCTGGCCAGAATGTGGTATCCTGACGTAACGTTTCACAGGTGGTTTCCTTGGAGTGTTCAAATCCTCGTCGCGAACATCTCTTTTCACCATCACCTTGGTCGGGGGTGGTTTCACCCTGGTCTTGGTGTGCGTGTACGCCTTCTTCGGCGGCCTTCCGTCATCTAAAGGTTGATTCTGCAATCGAACATACACGAAGAAGTGAAATTGAGCTCTCCTGAAAGTTGGACTAAACGCAAGATGAAAGTTACATTAAGGAAACGTTTGTATTCGAGCACATCAGCTGGACGGTTCTTTCGTTGCAGCGTCTCAAAGTCGATGGTCTTCGCCTCGGGATTATTCTCCTCGAAAACCAGTTGTTTATACTTGAGATCCTCCACAGGACTTTCTTCAGTTGTAGTAGTTGCAGTAACACTAGTAGTAGTAGTAGTAGTAGTAGTAGTAGAAGCAGTAGTAGTAGTACTTTCATCTTGGATCTCCCTTCGGATCCTGTTATTATTAAGATCGTAATCTCGCTGGATATTACTCGTTAAAGTTCCTTTATTCCTCAGGAAATTTATATTGGTATCTGGATTCAAGCTGTCGTCGTCTTTCCTTATCCTCTTGAAGACCACATTCTCGGCAACTTCCAAACACTCGTCGTCGTTTCGATGATAAAAGTCCTCCAAACTGGTGGATCTTTTAATTATCCTCATTTGAGGATTCGGATACTCAAGGTACACACTTTGATTGCGTGCAACCAAGCACGACGTAGCTGGAGGTTGCATGAAGGCGAGAGGAAGGGTGAACAGGATCCAGCAAGACAAAGACGCCAGGAAGATCACTTTACCCTTTTGCCATCTGGAATAAAACGAACACCCGATGGTTATCCAAGGCAAATTTCGTTAAATTGCCCTCCTTTCTCTACCCTACAACCGGACAAATCGATAAGGGGTGAAGCTTTCTCTCACAACAGCCTTGCTAACCCGTGCAATATTGGATTCTGGATAATATCCGCTAACATTGACCAAGGTGAGAAAACTGTCTACTCCACGATACGCAACCTAATTTCTAACGATCGAACAGAGAAACAAACACACGTGTACACAGTCGAATAGAAGAATCTCCCTCTCTCTGTAATATTCTCAACACTGAAAGTCACAGCGAAACGTTGAAAATAATAATACCATTTCTTTTCTCTCACCTGTCAGCCCACGAGCCCCAGATAGGTGCGCTGACGAACTCGATGAAAGGTCTGAGTCCCATCAGCAGACCACACTGGCCGGCGTTCATGCCCATCTGCTTGAAGTAGACACCCATCAGAGGGAAGAGAGATCCAAAGGCCGAGTAGAAGAAGAAGTAGAACGTCTTGACGGTGAGGAGTTCCTGATCCACAGCACCGAATAGATACTCTATCACGTCGCTCTTGCCACGAATCTTGTGCGTTGACTCTGTCGGCGGTGGATACAAGGTTGGATCGACCTCTCCTTGGGCATTTGGGTCCAGGATGGGCCTGACTCGTGGTAGCTGCGGCAAAGATCTACCACCAGCAGCCTGTTCTTCTTGAGTTTGCTCTCTGTTCTCGTTCTCGAAATCGTAACCATCGTCCAGTCCATAATTCATCATGACTGACCGTTAGCTTCTGGACAATCTACTTGGAGGATGTTCTCTGTTACAGGTTGGGGACACACTGATTACGATCAGACGGAATCTACGACGAGGAACACGTCCAGGACAGTGTGTCCAAGGGTCGGTGTACCAGGCGAAGAGCGAACTTGGCCCCACCTTCTCGACGATCTACGACGTTCCTCGAGGCGAGAGATTCCTCCGTCGAGAGTGGTCCCTCGTCTTTCGGAGATCACCAGCTACAATCCTTTTAGACGAGCGTCGAATCGATGGCCAACCGTGTACCACCTTTTGCTCGCGAAATCGATAGTCCTGACAGTGCGCCCGCGCAACTTCCACCCCCTCGCTTGCCTCCCACTAGCTTCAGAAGGGTAGCAATGGAAGCTCGATCTTACCCCGTGCGCGCAAACTGGCGAACAATTGGAGTTTTCACGTCGAACTCTTTCTGCTTTCATTTGGATTGCAATTCAGTTGCAGACGTCTCTGAGAAATTTGAAAGAATTTAAAGGTCGATAGAGAGAAGATGTGAATAGGAGGAATAGTTAGGATTATTATAGTTAGATGGTTAGGATGGTTCGTAGAAGATTGAAGGTTTAATGACATTTTTTTTCGTTGGAATAATATTGATCGAGGCAGATTAAACGCGACTTGAACCCCTCGCTAGAATCCACGACCCTTCCCCAGACACCTTTGTTTTCTTCCACTTTCACCAACACTCTACTTCCGTGATTCTTGCGCAGTTGATCGTACACCGGATATCCGGCTTCCAGGCGCCATGGTCACAGACGTGTGTCGGTACATGCACATGTGTGAATAATTTTATATTTATCTTAGATTCGTTCTTTTTTCTCATTTCAATAGATAACGATTGTTACGCTTGTTTCCATAAAATTCCATATCGTTGGGATATAAAATTTGTGAACGTTAATGATCGATAAAGTGTCAATGGATCAAACGCGATTGTACGCTGTAATAAGAAGAGGGATTTTGTCAGCCGGATGTGAAACGTGGAAAGTTTCACTTGACCCAAGTAGAGTAGCCTCCAGAGACGCTGTTGTTTAAGGAAACCCTCTCTATGCCGACAGCGGCCTGTGCGTTGAATGTTGAAGACCTTGACCCGCAACTTACGTTCCTTCTTTTATCTCGGCGAATGTAAGCATTTCGCTCGTTTGTTCTTAACGTACGCTATGCAGGGGGTTGAAAGTTTGTCAACGAGGTGTGTGTGTGTGTGTGTGTGTCTTTCATTGAGGAACGATTCCTCCCACTTTCTATCATTTCGAATAATTCATTTTGTACATTACAAACGATCGAAACTGAGAAACGTGATTTAGATGTTTAGAGAATTGGAAACGAATCTCCAGTTTGCGATAGATTTCTAAAGCAAAGAATCTCGCTATTTATCCTCGTAATTTACATCTTCCTTCGAAGATCGATGATCTACGTTAAAGGATGACACATCTGATATCTGTGGAGCACGGTACGTGTGCGTGATTGCAAATTTTTCTGCCATGCTCGCGACGATAAGGCTCTTGCTACGATCTAACAGGTTCATCGATGGAAAAAAGTCAACTCACCAAGATCCAACTCGCGTTCTCCGTAAAGAGAAGATCTTTCCTCGCGGTTCGCCGGTAGTGTAAAAGAATTTCGCAGATACATCTATGCAAAATCTCCCTCCGAGCTAAAATTCCGAAGCTAAGATCGAAGTTAACGTCCAGAATGAAGAAGAGATCGATCGTAATATTAGCTGGAAGTTTGTCGTGGAGCGGAAACGATCGAGGATCAAAGAGCGCGGCCAATGGAGGAAAAAGGATCAATACGACTAATCGTTATCTCTAGCGGCGATTTAAAAAAAAAAAACGCTCCTATTCTCTAAGAACCACCAGTGACGCAAATCGGCTTGACCTTATTTCAGAGTTCAAGTATGAAATTCACGATGCGAACAGAGGCTCTAGCTTCACCTAGACACACAATAATTCATGTGCGTCATCATTACAAGCAAGATACACTCATTGACTTTCAGATCCGTGATTAACCGATGAATTTGTACCAATATAAAGGGAAACATGCGCCGAAGTAATCGACAAAAGATGATTGGCACGAGAGTTCACGAACTCTAACGATTATAGAAAATAAATATTGCATTTATTCGATAAGTTACACATACATTATAGTAACGAGCAATAATATACAAACGTTTTTTTTATATCATAAATATTAACTTAAATTAAGAGTTATGTACAAAGTCGAGTTTAATAATGTCGTCGTTGCCCCGGTTATTCAGCCTCTTTAATCCCCCCCCCTCCCCCAGGTTCTTCTTTGGTTCAGTGTCATGATGATTACTGGTGTCTCAATTTGTGCTATTGAAAATGTCCCTCGGTATCGGGTCCATGTGAGACTCGCCCTCGAACGCAGACGCGGCGGACGTGGAAGAAGGCGCAGGTTCTGGTGGACCCTGGAACATGCAGGTCTTCGCCGTTTTCAACAGGCGGCCGTTGCTCGCCGTTCGCCAGTAAACTGTGCGAACAGCCTGCTTTCCAGCTACGTAGCTTACTGCACCACCGATCAGCATCTGAAGTAAAATAAAATACGTTGAATTGTTTGATTCCAAAGTTAGGCAAAATTAATCTGAGTAGAAGTTTTTAACGAGAGGACAAAGAATCGAGTATGTGAGTAATTGAGAATCTAATGGTATAGTTAGTGGAAGAAATGTAGGGAGATTGTAAATTAAAAAATTAAATACGCCAGTTTATGTTTTTCATTTAAAACTGAATCGAAGCTAATGCACATTTCGCGCGATTTTTGTCTTCTCGAGTTTCAATAGATTCGTTTGTCGATACGTTCGATGTTACGAATCTAATGGTATAATCAATAGAGGAAATATAACAGGATCGTAAATTAAAACATTAAACACAGCAGTTTACGTTTTTCATTTAACACTGAATCAAAAACTAATGCACGTTTTACGCGGCTTATATCTTCTCAGGTTTCCATCGATTCGTTTGTAAACTTTGACGCCTGACCGATTTTACGATCTCGCTATATTTCTTCCACCGACTATACACACTTTCAAAACAAAGATCTATTGTATTAGAATTAGAGACACTTGTCTTAGAGGTTATGTGAAAAAAAAATGCACTTGGTCGAAAGAATGAGAAATATGAATAGAATTCCCAAACACAATGCTCACCTTTGTTTCTCTTGGCTGTAATGTAGACAGTGACTTAGATCGTTGTAATAGAACTATGTAGTTCTATATAGGTCGACAGGTAGAAGGCTTGAGTGTAATCGTACAAAGTGCCTATGGCAGGTTCCTGTACCTCGCTCTTACGAAGAGAACAGCTGAACTGACGAACTAGCCTCCTCCGATGGATAATTTATACGATAAAGTCTACGTCACGGGATCTAGCGATAAGAGAACGCGTTCACGTCATCCACGTTGATCGCCGAATCCAACGAATGGTGGAACGGCTCATTTTTAGAAACAGACGCGAGATTTAAGATAAACACACGTTCTGTCTACTCTTCCCGCCTTACCTATCGATGCATCATTATCGACGGTTCCCCGCGTACTTGAGATTCGATAAACACACGTCGACTGTGGCGCAATTATGGCGGTTCAAAATACGGATTACAGAACGAAGGAAAGAAACGAGGCAAATAATTGGTCGATTACGTGATAATTGAATTGTTTGTCAACAGGATGACATAAATGCGAGTTTTTTAAGAAAACAACAATACTTCGTATTGTACATACTAAATATACCGGACTGTTAGTAAATAAGACGAGAGCTAGCGATACGAGGTTAATAAATCATCCTCGTGCTATATAGTACTACCTACGTTTAAACCATGGAACGTGTAACTCTTTCTCGATGTTTGTGGAAAATTATTCATGACGTATGCACAATTGGTATCGTTAAAAAAATGACTGGTGAAAGGGTGATAACATTTTACATGTTCCCGCTGTACTTTGTTTCTGACGACAATCAATAAGCAATTTATTGTATCGTTTTCATACGTCACAGCCTTCGAATCTCACGTTCTTCCTGAATCTAGCACAAAGGAGAGTCCCGTTGCATGTGTCTGCCATTGTGTCTGCGCGGGAAAATCGCGAGTCACTTTGTGTGTACACGCTAAGTTCTTGTTAAACAAGGAAAATCGATCTTCTAAAATTACACAGGTATACAAAATAGGTTGAAGATAAATCCTCTTATCAGAAACCACGCGAACTGCACTTACATACTGGGAAAGTCCACGATTCTGAAATTCTATCGAGAGATCAAGCTTTCTTGCGAAAACTCATGCTTTCAAGTACGTTCTCGTTTTTTATTATCAAACATTTCGACGCGTCGATATTCTAATCGTTGTAATTTCTCTCAGATTCATAGTAATCAGCTACAGTCGCGACTCGATCACATGATAGGGATACATGGGAAAATCTCTATCGACCACTCGAACGTATAGATCGATTGTAATCGTTCTCTTTCTCCGTCCATTCAGAGTTTATTTTTACCCCTTATCCGCGAAATCTTTGAAATTCGATTTATCGCCGCCGATTTTCAACAATTCTCGAGTGCGCCTTTTTATCGGTTAATTGTTGACACGACATATCGGTCTTTTAATCCATCGTCGTCGTGGATCGTGGTTGATTTATTTTTATCCAGGAGCATTGGAAAATACCGCGAACAAACTGTCATCGTCCATCAAGCTTCGAAAATATAATTTTATTTAATTGCGTGTTCGTCTTAATCTTTTCGTGGAAGCGAGGAAATTTCAGGTCGTCAGGGTTAAACTCGTCGGGGACAAAACTATTCCCATATTAAACTCTAGGAACAGAGTAAAAAAGGTACTCGTGGAGCAATATAGAAATATTTAGAATTCCTCCTTCTTTTATTTACATTCTAACACGTACATTATGTTCGTTTCAGAGACGTTTATGGAACAAGAATGAAATATTAATATTCTACGCATGTTCGAATAATCATAGTTAGGAATGTGCATACTTCTTCCGGCGCTTGGAGCAGTTCGTATGATTCAAGATACTATATATAGTAAAAACTGTACCACAGGATTCCACATTATACGGCGAAGGTGAAGTTCAGAGTGATTTTCTCGACAATATGAGAAACAGTATTCTCCACTCTTAATTTTAATCTCAATATCAACGTAAATCGAGTTGTTTAATTCAATGTTGTATCATCGACAGAGTCCTCACGCTGAACGAAAGTTCCACTGAGTCCGTGGAATCGATGGAAAATTTGCACGCGGCCAAGGAGCAACATCATACAAGTTCATCGAAAGCGCGCGCGAAAAACTCGTCGAGTAAAAAATAAAACAAAAAAAAAAGAGGAATGTACGTCGCGAATATTACACGCAGTACGCTCGAATGTATACAAACGCGGGTCTGTACGACAGACAGAGAGAAGACTCATGATTCACGTGAAACTTTCGTGGCGTCTCGGCTAAGTGGGGAGAGGAGAGGTCGTGATCGCGATAGACGATAGTCGATTTCGATAATACGAAAGTCTCATGGCATCGTTCTCTCTCCCTATCTGTCTGCTGAGAGTGTCCATTAACGATCGTCTTCTTCTCTCCCTCTCGATCCACGCAGCGTTCACCGAGGTACACCGATCCAAGGTTGAACGATAATCGTGGAACGAGAAAGGCGGAGTACATAATTGTGTTGAAGGAAAGTTACGTAAACGTGTGTATAGAATAATACGATGTATAACGCGTGCACGATAAGATTCGAGTGGTCGTATCTTTGCTGGGGGGCATGGTTCCGTTTGCTTATCGATCGATACATTATCGTTCACGTGTTATCGCTACCGTGAGCCTCTTGTTAAGCGTATCGAGTCTGGGCATCCCCAAACTGAACGTGGAAACACAAGGTTCAAGGAATCAAGCGACATCGGATCTCTTCGTGGAAATCAAGAGAGCCTGATGATATCAGTCGTTTACTCAATCGGTTTAATTAAGCGACTTATAAATTGGATTTAAATTGGAAAAAAATATACATATAGCTCGTAAAGTCTGGAGAAAGTAATAAGAGTATCGATTAAAAAAGAACGAAAGAATGAATTTTATCGTCGGTTTTTAATACGGTATACATATTATGTAGAACTGATAGGTCGAAATTGTATCTTTAACGAGCGTTCGCTTTCGTGGAAACGTTGATGGTTTCCCGATAGAGCGGAGATAGTCATCCGATTATTTCCAGTACAAAGCGGTGGTGCGTTTGATACCGCGAGAAATTACCAGTCGTTCGATACCTCTTATCGCGAGCACGGTGTTACGTGAACCGAACTGTGCCCAGTGTTACAGTACTCGTTTCGCGTGGTCCGCGAACATGCGGATTTTCACGAGTTTGAGCCGAGAGGAACGTGATTTTCTTATCTCACGGCCCGTATGTACTCGCGCCGTGTGTAATATGTAGTAGAAACGGTTGTGGACACTCTCGGTGCTTCTGGTGCCAACGTGTCTACCACTGTTTCCTTATCATCCATCAATTCTCCTTATCACGAATAACCATGCGATTCGTTCTTTTCCTTGGATCGTATGAAAACAAACCAAGGCTCCTTGGACTGTGTAACATGTGGCAAATATTGTAATTCCACTGAGCATACGAGCCGGAGACGAGATGTCAATTAGACAAGTCTTGTTAGTCTTCTTATCAATCTCCATGATTGAAGACGAAAGATTTCAAGCTGAGAACACTTGTAGACGCAAGGAATCACCTCTCGACCTCTCTATAATCGTCGACCAAAGCCGCCATGTTGTCACGAGCTTCCTGAAAGAAGCCTTCCTCCATACCTTCGCCTACGTAATGATGAACGAAGGCTCTCTTCTGGAACATGAGGTCGAATTTCCTTGCAAGCATCGTCCATCTGTGTCTGATAGCTGTATTATTGCTTGCCATTACCACGGTTCTTGTTGATTTAGCTAAATCTCCTCCAGGCACCGTCGTAGTAGGCTGATAGTTAATCCCTACCTACAAACACGATTATCTGAGTCACCGAGGGTGATGAAAATGTTGTACCTCGTTTCGCGAGACTAAACAAAACTCGTTAGTTTGAATTTGTTTTAGTAAAAATGCTTTCGTTATCTAGCCACAGTTCAACGTTCCGTTGAATTTTTCCCATTATCAGACGTTTCTACGTCAATAGTGATACAGGAGGAATCGCAGCATTGTTTACCAACATTTCATCGCGGTATCGGACAATTTGTTTATTACCGAATGTGGAAAAAATTGAGCGTATAGTAATGCACCTTGAACCCAGTTGGACTCCAAGTGACGAAACGTATAGACTTCTTCCCCTTCAGCGACGCTATTGTCCTGTTCACGTCGTTTGGACTTACGTCTCCGCGATACAGCAAGCAGCAACTCGTGTATGCGCCGGTTCGTGGATCACACGTCACCATCTTTGATAATAATTTTTCATCATTCAAAAAATTCCACGGAGAGTAATAATTTTAATAATTGAAAAACTTCCACGGAGAGTAAAAATTTTAATAATTGAAAAAATTCCGTGGAGAGTAATAACTTTAATAATTTAGAAAATTCCGTGGGTAGTAAGAATTTTAATAATTTAAAAACTTCCACGATCACAGGGAGATTTCAATCTTTTCATTTCACCTGGTTAGCAGGCTCGAAACAGTCGTAGGTAATTTGTCGAGTGGTGATCTCTGAGTGCATAGCTCTCCTAGGAGAGACCAAAGGTGCGTAAGTGGCTAGACAGAAGTGAATCCTAGGATATGGTACCAGATTAGTTTGCAATTCATTAAGACTGAGGTTCACAGCGCCTTCGAATCTCATCGAGGCAGTCACGCTAGAGACCACTTGAGCCTCCATTCGATTTAAGTTCGTATAAGTTGGATCGTCCACGTCCAAATTCCTATACCCAAGCAGAGATAATGGAATAATACGGCGTATTTTTTCATTACTACATTAATCAGTACCTGGAACAGATATTATACAAAGCTTCGTTGTCGAAGAGAAAACAACAGTCCACGTGCTCCAGAGTACCATGAGTAGTAAAAACTGCGTTGTAAGGTTCCACGATAACGGTGGAGATATTAGGAGATGGGTAGAGGACAAAATCTAAGGTGATCTGCTTCGGGTAATCGCGGTTCAGATTTTGTAGTAGCAGCGTGGCGAACCCACTTCCGGTACCACCGCTCAGAGACCTAAAAAAACATCGTTCGATTCTAATTTCAATTAAAGAAAAAAAAAAAAAAAAAAAAAAAAAAAAGGAAAAGACAGAAGTAGAGAATAATCTGTGAACCTGAAAACGATGAAACCAGCTGGCTTGGAGCAAGTCTCCCATATTCTACAAACGCGATTTAATACGAGATCGATCGCCTCTCTACCGAGGGAATAGTAGCCTCTCGCGTAGTTGTTCGACGCATCTTCCTTTCCGGAGATCAACGATTGCGGGTTGAAGAGTTTCTTGTAGGCACCGCATCTAATCTCGTCGATCGCCGTGGGCTCTAGATCGACGATCAACGTGCGTGGAGTCATCTTTCTTATCTGCAAATCGACAGTCGTACCGAAAGGATTTTTTCCATTTCCATTACAAGTCTTTTTATTTCCGTCGGATAGGTAAATAACGTCTGGTCACTTGTGTCTCCGCGAAGAAAGTGCACATGGAGGTGTCCACGGGGTAATATCCTTGACGAAGACATCCCGCTGGCGTTACACCGTGTTCCAAGCAAAATAACTCCCAACAGGCGCTCGCCAGTTGCGTGCCAGCTTGGCCTATGAAGATTGTTATTATTTCACCCGGTCCGTCCATTTAGAAATTACGAATTTTCCATGATTTCCCGCTCGAGGTGAATGAACAACAAACGCTTCATGGTCGTAGCGTGGTAAAATTACACCGGAAATTTTGATCATTATTTTGTTACATTTTTTCTTTTTCGCTATTTGTCACTCATCTTTGCGGATTTGTCAAAGTGACAGTTCTGAAGGGCGTTGAACGTATTCGTGTATCGAGGAGAACGTCATTTTTCCGCAATTATCGATTGCACGAGAAATTGACGTTTCTTGTAACGAATACGAGATGTGTTAAGGAGATTAACGTTGGTTTAGCATCTTAGTTTATTGTGCAACATTACATAATATATAACAAAGTTTTCGAAAACGATTGCAACGTACTGGATCACACAGTTACAACGAAATTGTCATTAACATCGACTTGGTACAATTTGACAAAGAACATTCATTATTGTACTATTTATCTCTGCCTAGGGGCACTCGTGTGGCAGTAGTTTAATTGGTAAATCAACTGTTTTTTTTTTTGTTTTATTACTCGACACGCATGAGTTTCATTCATATGAACGAGATACACGTTGTGCTAAAGACGTTCCTACAGCTGATATGTATTTTGATCCCTCTGAATAACACCAAACGAATGAGAATAAGTACTAGTACACGTTAGGGTTTAGATATACTACACTTAAGATACAGAATGTCGATTGTGGTGTAATTAAACAGGGAGAAACTGAATACTGTCGCAACTCCTGCATTCATTTTTGTACTATTACAGATCCAATCTGATTTCTGTGTACAGTATTCGTGTTTCACCTGGTGGAAGATTTTTTTAAATATAGAAAACGCTTATCGTATAATATCTTACGTTGACGTGAAGTCGAAAAGAGGCATCTCAAGGGGGGTTAAAGGGGGTAAAGGTGCAAGTCTTAGGAAATGTGCATTGTCTAGTCTAGTTTCATCATTAGGGTTTGCAGTCACAGCTTGAAGTTGCTCAGTCAGCTGTCTTACTTCCTCTTCTTTGGCCTCCAGTTTATTGAGTAAGCTTCCAACTAGATAACGAAGTTGACCATTCACAGTTTTTAATTCTTCTATAACAGTGCTGGCATCTTTCGGATGTTTGAAAACTTTATCTTCGCTGTTTGGTAGTGAAATTTGAGTTAACAGGCTATCTTGTTCTTCGATTGTTTTATATATAGCTTGACTTAGAGATCCGTCAAACTTATCTCTAGTAAATTCAGTTGTATCTTTTTCAATCTGTTTTCGTGCTTGTTTACTAAGTATTTCCCTCTTTTGGTTTTCCAGTGTTGCTTTGTACTCTTCGTATTGTGCTTGTTTCATTCTATAAAGATATTTATCGATATATATTTGCACAGGACTTCTACTTGATAGATAAGTAAAAGATGCGACTTACCTAACTACAGCAGCTTGTCTTTTGTGATAATCACGTTGAAGTGCAAGAGATTCCAAAGTGATGAGCGAATGAAAAGAGGTGATCACAGTTGGTTGAATTTGACTAGATAAATTGGAAGTCTTCAAATGAAAAAAATCAGACTCAAGTTGTGCATGTGCCTCTCCTAGAAGACTGGCCACTGTTTCATGACACTTGGCTGCCTCTTCGAAACGTCCTTCTTGCAGCAATGCCTCTGCTCTTCTTTGCCTTTTGTGTGCCTTTGACAAAAATATTATATCAGTACAAAAGAATAATGCAAAAATTGAACGCAATTAATTAAAAAACAAGCTGAAAAATCAACAGATGACATTTAACGACTTAATATCGATATGACGTAGCTTGCACAGTCGCATGTTTTTGCAAAATCGAGACGACTAGCCTGCGCAAACGAATAATGTAGGTGGTGACGAATACTCCGTACGCATTAATATTACTAACACATAATAAAGGGAAAGTTATTAGTCACGCGTAACGGTAAGACGTACAAGAAAACACGGTTACACTTACCGCGTTCAGGACTGAAGTCTCCATGGCTGATCAGCTGATCGAATAACAGAACAAAAACATAGAGGCAACATGTGGATTATTTTCTGTTATGGCACCTAATGACGCATGTACCGATTGAGCATAAAAATTGTACACCTGTGCTCGTGATCACTGAAGGTGTATTTTCAATGCGTCCGACGTCTCCCGATATAAATGTTGAATTCTTACTTAATCGAGTTAGAACAAAAATTCGTTAATCGAAAGGAATAAATACGAAGCATCGAACTTCGAGTCAAGCGTGCAAACTAAAATATCGCGGTGCAGTAATAATTTAGCGATGTGGAAAATTTACACAGTTAACATGTTCTCTTAAATAATTCCTTAGCAAATAAATGTTGTACATAGGTAAAGTAGAACACATTAGTATCAACCGATGATAACGTTAATTTGATACGTAATACGTTTTCTTGTTACTAGATGGCAGTTCTATACAGCAAACAAAGAAAATGACATACGAAAGTTCGATGTTAGATCAAATTTACGCGGGTTTACTTTTACACTATTATAGGAATTGCATTTTATTAGACTCCTTTAAATAATAATAAAGTAACATTTATATCCTACACATCATTTAACGGTTAAAAAATTCAGGGAACATTACGAAATTGTTTCGAACGATCGCATTGAAAAAAAGATTTAATGTGAAAAAAATATGTCAAGTAGATGACAAAGTATCGTTCATTAATAACGTAACGATTCTTAATGAGTTTTACATGCATAAATCGAAGAAACATCGTTAGATTCCGAAACGGCTTTGCAATCACGGAGCCCCAGTCGCACAAGAGTCGAAAAGGAATTGAGCGTAGGCGTGAACCGATGCCTTTATAGGAATACGAGAATCAACGTGGAAACTTAATTATTCGGGCTATCAGGCGTGCATGTGTGTGGTTTCGTCGAGTGTTTCATCTATTAGAAAATAACGTTGACCTCATCTCTTTCCGACGGAACACGAAAAATGTTTCGGCCTCTTTAGGTTAAGTCGGTCTCGTCGATCACGACGCGAAGCTAAGTCAATTAATAATATCGATTTATCGCCGTATGAAAAAGGAAGCAGAAAAAACGAGGAAAGAAGAAAAAAAACAAAAAGAACGTAGATAGAACTAGGGTAACCTGTATCATTTGAATCCGAGTAGGTGTAACCTTACAAACTGACAGTACTTAATCTCCGCTGAATCATTAAAAAAAAAAACGAATCATGAACCCGTGACATTATATCGATTAGCATAAATTTTCATCGAGACCACACTGAGAAAATTTGCCATGTAAATAGTCGATATTGCGTTCCCAATTAAACGAACACTGTACACGGTGATACGAGACCGGTGAATTTTTACGGTCCACTGACTCGAATTAGTAAGATCCTCCCGTCTGTTTTCTTACGGCATCAAGGGAATTAGCGCCCGATTAGTGTGAGCGAACCCCTTTCGGACCCGAAAAAAAATTCTCACGGTCCGCGGAGGCTTCTCTTATCCCGGTGTAGCACGGTGAGAAAGTAAAGAAAGAAATCTTAACTTGAACGTGTTCACGTGACATCGTATTTTCTATTCGTCAAAGCGTGGAGGAGAACTATGTTAACCAACGCGATTCACCGAAAAATCCACAAACTTCTGCGTCGTTCTAGATTGTCACGTTCGCGCATGCGCGCCACGCATGCGCGGAAACGAAAGCGCGAATAAACGGTATTTTCGAAATCCCCTTAATAGGGGCTTCTAGTTTGATTGGTTCGAAGCGACGGAATATTATGCAAGATTATGTTAGACGGGTGAATAGAAGGTATATGTATAGAGTACGGGTGAGAATAATATCTGCGCTAGTCGGTGTTACGCAACCGTATAATCCTAGATTACGGCAATTACATTTTTGCCCGCAGTGCACTTCCATCCGAATCATATATGGAGGCGCTACCCTATCGGATAGCCATCGGGCGCGAGGCGATCTGGCATGCGCGGCCGTTCTCGTGAATGGGCACGGCTCGTGGACCAGGCGGCGGCCGTATGAATGAAATAGTAAATATAATTGACAGAAGGGCAGGCGTGGGCAGGCCAGTCAGAACAGGCAAGCAGAAACAGGCGGAACGAGGTGCAAGACGGGAACGGCGTTTTATACGCGGCAGGCGTAGGATCGAGGTCATCACCTTTCTATCATCCGAAGAGCCTAGATAGCACCTTTTTTTCTCTCTCTCCTCTCTTCCTTTTTTTTTTCCTTCGCGTTTCACGCGTTTCGACATGTCAAGAGTATACTCGATGCTCTTGATCCGGCGACCGTTAACGAGTTTTCCTAATTTTCTATTTTTCACCGAATTATACGCAAGTGAGAGGAGACAAAATCAATTTTAACGCGAAAATATGTCGCAACAAGTGACAGAGAATTTTCTTGATTTTCGTGAAAAGGGAGGAAATCAATTTTAACGAAGACTCTTCGTAAAAGATCCTTTCGAATACCGTAAAAAGCGACAGAGGAACGTGTGCCGTTAATTAACGATTGTTAACGGAAACGGAAGAGCCGCTTTGTAGATTTCTACTTATATTTGTATCAGAGCTGCCGCGAGTAGCCGCGGTAAGTAGGAATCCCTGTAGGTCCAGCCACGTTAAAACATTACGTGACGATGAGGACAGATCCGCCCTCGGCCGCGGTGGATACTGGCTGGCGGAGAACATTGAAGGAGAGCTGCGCCAGTTCTTGGCCGGTCGGTCTGCTCTTTTCTCTCTCTCTATCTTTCTCTCTCCTCCTCCCTTCTCCTCCCTGCCCCGTCGAGTCGTCGAGTGACGACCAAAGACGGTAGGAAGGTACGGTTTCCGGTCGCCCACGCGACAACCTAGCCGGAGCTCTCTCGCGTCAGCCAGCGCCGTTGTGAAAATCCTCTCGATTCAGGTGTCCGGATAGCGCTCACGGAGTGGTAAACCTGGCGCAACACCCTGATCTCTGCTGGAGGGGGGCCCAGTCAGTTCAGGCAAAATGGAGAACAATTTATAGATTTCTAGCGGAGCGTGCTTCAACCACGCTCTCTTAACCCCCTTTTACGTCAGTCGCCTCTCTTGGTACCACTAGCATTGTGTCAGCATTTCTGTGTGATTAGACAATTTTTTGTTGGAAAGATAGCGATTCGGAATTCTTTCGGAGAAGATTCTTCCATTCTTAGGTTTCCAACCTGATTTCCCCGGTGCACACGGTGAAATGGTAATTAGCTTCGCTTTCGTTTGGCTCTCCTTGGTTTCTTATATCAACACTTCTATATAATTAGATAATTTTTATCCGAAATTCTGTAAACAGGGAATTTTTTCGGAGAAGATTCTTCGGTTTCCGACTTAATTTCCTTGGTGCACACGTTGAAATGGTAGTTAGCTCTCCTTTCGTTAGCCTCCTCTTGGTCCCTCCATCTTACGTCAACATTTCTATATAATTAGATAATTTTTTGACGAATCGAAATTTTTATCCGAAATTCTACAAATAGAGAATTTTTTCGCAGAAGATTCTTCGATTTTTCGTTTTCTAACCGGATTCCCTCGGTGCAATTAGCTTTCCTTTCGCTAGCCTCCTCTTGGCCCCTCTATCTCACGTCAACACTTCTATGTAATTACTTAATTTTCCGAGAAAATCAAATTTCTATTCGAAAGACAGTCGTTCGAGATTCGATAAATACGGAATTCCTTCGGAGAAGCATCTCCGATTCTTCCTTCTCCAACCTGATTTCCTCGGTGCACACGGTGAAATGGTAATTAGCTTTCCTTTCGTACGATCGCTTTCCAATTTCGATTACTCAACGACTAATTATTACGTTTCAGGGTTTACGAGAGACGCGAGAAAAAAAGATTCGAGTCATTGTGATGGAAGGTAGAGGGGGACGGTTGTTGCGCGGCGGGACGCAGGATTAATGATACGTTTCATACTCATTTTCGTTTATTGTCGATACTAATCGATTACACCGGAGGCCAGAGCCTGCACGAGATCCACAGCGCCATTAGTTAAGATCGGAATAAATTTCGGGTGAAAGTGGTTCTCTAGGGCCCAAGGGTCGATCGATCCTCCCAGATGATAAATTTACCTGTCAATTAAGTTTCGTTTCATCTGAGAAAATAGTTCGACGTACACGCGGTGACGTACGACACCCGTAATTAAAACCGCGTGTTCATGCCACGGAACGTTTCTCTAAATAAAATCGAATTCTTTTCTTTTTCTCTCTCTCTCTCTCTCTGGTAGAAACGTTCGTCGTTTCGTCATTTCCACGGGTTATGTGAAATATCGCTGGAGATGTTGGAAATATTGTCGCTTAATTAGCGGACTCCGTTTCCATGGAACCGGCGGAGTCAGCCACTGAGAAAGTATACAGGGTGTCTGAATTTTTTCCGATCAAACTTCGTCGGTGTATTCCATAGATGTAAATAAGAAGAAAATGTCGTATAAACATAGGTGGTTTGAGGCTTTGTTAAAAAGTTATAAGAAAAATACGAAATGCGAAAGCAACGAATAACGAATTTCGAGGTTAGGATGATACCAGGCAATAATAGCCCTTGCAGAAGTTACATTCGACATCGAGAATCTGAATTAGTGAATACAGCTCGGGTAAACAGACCAAATTCACATCATCTATTCATATTTCGTAACATAACCTCACTTTCGTTACCATTCCCTCCGTATTTCCT